ATAATTATTATCCGATTTAAAAAATCATATTATTATATCACCGTTACACCCTAAGGCCGACTGAGTTCGAATTGCGTGAAAATCGACCAAAAACTGACAGATAAAATGGCCGCCCTTCGATATTCGCGCATATCGGACCGTAACTTACTGAATTATGGCCCCTGATTGTACGAAAAATTGCGTTTTTAGCTTGTGGACCCTATAGAGGTCATAATTTTTATCCGATTTAAAAAACGTATTATTATATCACCGTTACACCCTAAGGACGACTGAGTTCGAATTTCGTGAAAATCGGCCTAAAACTGACAGACAAAATGGCCGCCCCTCGTTCTCAAATTGCATAAAAATATGGTATATTAACGTATTATTATATCACCGTTACACCCTAAGGACGACTGAGTTCGAATTTCGTGAAAATCGGCCTAAAACTGACAGACAAAATGGCCGCCCCTCGTTCTCAAATTGCATAAAAATATGGTATATTAAGGTTGTGGACCCTATAGAGGTCACAATTTTTATCCGATTTTGTTGAAACTTGAAATGTAAGTTTATAACTCAAAGATCTTGGTTCCTTTCGATATTTGCGCATATCGAATTGTAATTTCCTGAATTATGGCCCTTGATTGAAGGAAAAATCACTTTCGTTTTAGCTTGTTTTCTATCCATCTCTCGAAAATGTGGGCGTATACTGCCTGGCAGCCGTTGGTTAAAAAAAATTTGGAATCCCCTAGCCCCCCCCCCCCCTGTACACACCTCCCTGAAGTTAGGGGGGTTAAATTGAGGGTGAGTAAGCTTGTATGTAATCACGATATAGATTAGATTTCTTGAAGGATAATAGGAGATCATCAAATTTGGTCAAGATCCAAGTTTTTCTTTTGTATAATCAATCTATCTTTTATGTGCTTAGAAACATCACCGTTTATTGTAATAATATTTAAACAAGTGTCTTTGTAACTCCAATTTAAATTTAACACAAGTTAACCTTCTCTAATTGTTCTTGGTAGCTTATTCCACATATGGGCACCATTTATAGGGAAAGATAATTTTCCTCTGCCTCTCTTGTAAGCAGGCACCTGCTAGTATCTGTGGACGAACGATGATTTGGTCTTTCCTGTTTGTAGAATGTGAATAATTAATTCATGTAGGAGGGAGCAGTATCTGAAAACAAAGCTTTATACACATTTGATAGCACTTTAAAGTCTGTCCGGGCTTTCACAGGCAGCCAATGAAGACTTTTAAGAGTTTCTGTTACATGATCTCTAGATGATGACTTGGCAACTTGTCGAGCACAGTTATTTTGTACAACTTGAAGGCGGTTGAGGAAGAAATCTGGAATGACGGCCATGAGTCCATTGCCATAGTCCAACCAAGATATGACCAATGCTAATACAACTCTAGCACATGAATCTTTAGTGAGATACCTCCTGATTCTGGATATTGGTTTTAATCTTGTATACATTTTACACATTGTTAACCTGTGGGATGAGAGACATTGTCTTGTCCATGATGAAACCCAGATTGCGTTCTTTACACGATGGTGAAATTTCAATTGAAACTGTTCAGTTTTGATCTTAGTAATATCATCAGGAATTCTGTCTTCTCATCGATCAGCTTTAATTTGTTTTGATTCATCCATGTCCGAATATCACTGATACAGGATTCTAGCTTCTTTAGGGCACCGTGTTTTGACATCTGGTATGAAGGAATGAATGTGTTACACAATTGCGTATCATCGGCAAAATCATGATAGCTGATACCATGTTTAATAATAATTTTACCAAGTGGAAGTACATACAGTAAGAAGAAAAGTGGACCTAGTACCGATCCCTGTGGGACTCCAATGGACAGCGGTTTAGATACAGAGTTGCTGCTATGAATATAGACACATTGGCTTATGTCAGTTAGATAGGACTTCAACCAATCCACCGCAGATTCTTTGATTCCCACAGATAACTGTAGTCGATTGAACAGAATGCTACGGTCGATGGTATCAAATGCCACACTTAGATCTAGAAGTATAAGGTTGATGCCAAGGCTGCTGTCCAATGCTGTATCAATATCAGCTTTTACCTTCAAAAGTGCTGTCTCTGTGCTGTGACCTTCTTTATAAGTAGACTGCAGTGGTTCATGAAGATCGTTAGCTTGCAGATAATTAGTGATTTGTCTCGCTATCACCCTTTCAAGCACCTTTCCGATAAATTCAAGATTTGAGACAAGCCGATAGTTCTTAAGGATCTTGCATTTAAGCGATGGTTTCTTCAGAAGTGGAATCACAAAGGCAGTCTTTAATGAAGTAGGCACACAGCTGTTAGCAGTTCAAGAATTTATGATTGCAGTGATGAAAGGAAGGAGCGCATCTAATACTGGTTTGGACTTCAGAAGCCATGTTGGAAGGGGATCTAGGCTACAGGAAGTTGACTTGCTCTTAGCAATGATGGTCTGGACATGTTCTTCTGTAAATGGGGCAAACTCAAACAAACGGCTTGGTACATGATGTTCTCTAAACGCCCGTAATCTGCTAGTATTGTCAAGAGTACGTCTGATATCATTGACTTTGTCATGAAAAAAGTCACTGAAACGTTCAGCTAGCACAACATCTGAATTAGACTTTGGTAATTTCTTTTGATTTTCAGAGATAAGTTTTTCGATAACATTAAAAAGATCTTTATAATCTGTTGCAGAGAGTTTGTTTTGATAAAAAGTTGTCTTGGCATCAATTGGAAAAATTGTCTATCAACTTGAAGACCTGTTTATACACATTTTCTTTCTGTTTTTCGTCTGAGAATTCTTTCAGAGTGAATGGCATCAGTATACCAGGGGTTTGGATTCTTGCCTATACTTTTGCAGGACTTTACAGGAGCAAATACATCAAGAGTGGACTCAATGACCTGAGAATACCGATGCAGTAGAGTTAGGGGATCGTCAAAATCAATTCATTTCACATCGTCTTTGATAGACGACGCAAACTTCTCATGATTTCTTTTTCCACAAATGATGTGCTTTCAAGGTTTATGTCACATACTACTGGGTAGTGATCTGACAATAAATCTGTAGTTACTTCAAGGGTATTAATAAGCTGGCTATTTCGTCAAAGATAACAAAGTCAAGAATATGTCCACGTTTCTGTGATTTAGTCTTCACATGTTGATATAAACTATAAGAATCTAGGATGTTTTGAAATTTGGAAACGGTAGAATTGTTTACATTATCAGAGTGTAAGTTGAAATCTCCAATCATAAGCAGACTTGTGTAAAGGAGAATGTGCTTGGAAATCATAGTTTCAAAGTCTTTCGGAAAATCCTGATTACTTGATTTGTTTTGATACGCCCACATTTTTGTGTGGACATATTATGCTGTCGCTCAAGTCCGTCTGTCTACAGTTTGTTTGTGGACGCACTACAAGTCACAATTTTTATCCAATTTTGACGAAACTTAAAATATAAGTCTATCTCCCAATTGATCTCAGTTCCTATTGATATTGATATTGGCATGTATCAGACCATAACTTCATGGATTATGGCCCCTGATTGTACGAAAAATCATGTGGACATGCTAGAGGTCACAATTTTCAACCGATTTTGATGAAACTTGAAATACATGTTTATAACCCAAAGATCTTGTTTCCTATCGATATTCGCACATCTCATAACTGTAACTTCCTGAATTATGGCCCCTGATTGTATGGTCCCTCTTGAGGTCACAATTATTATATGATTTAAAAAAACGTTTGAATATATCACTGTTACACCATATAATGTTGGTCGAGTTAGAATTCCGTGAAAATCGGACCAAAAATGCCGGACAAAATGGCTGCCCCTCGTACGCAAATAGTGTAAAAATATGATATCAAGGTTGTGGACCCTCTAGAGGTCATAATTTTGATCCGATTTTGATGAAACTTGAAATACATGTTTATAACCCAAAGATCCGTGTTGTTTTATTGGTGCTTTTCGGACCATAACTTCCTGAATTATGGCCCTTGATTGTATGAAAAATCACTTGTTTAGCTTGTGGTCCCTCTTGAGGTCACAATTATTATCCGATTTTAAAAAAAACGTATGAATATATTACCAAGATCATGGTTCCTTTTGATAATCGTGTATACCCGAACGTAAAATCCTGTAATATGGCCCGATTGTTAAAAAAAATCGCATTTTTAGCTTGCGGATTCTCTGGGGGTCACAGTTTTTTTTTCGGATTTTAAAAACTGTTTAAATATATCACCATAATGAAGGTTGAATTTGAATTTCAGGAAAATTGAAATGAAACTGCCCAACAAAATGGCCGCTCTTTGTACGCAAATTGTGTAAAAGTATGTAATACGAAAGTTGTGGACCCTCGAGAGGTCACAATTTTTATCCGATTTTCTGAAAGATTGCAGGTCACCCACTGCATACTTAATCATTAGGTTTAATGATCTGTTGTTTGAAGTTAATAGATTGAATAAAATGATCCACTTGTTGAGATTAACAGACACCTTGACTTAATTAATTCATAGATTTCCTTTCATTCGTAAGTGGTTTGAAATTTTCCGTTGTTTCCTTTCCCTCACAACCCTCTGTTTTAAAACAATGAGGGTTTTGATGTAGATCAATGACACTAAGTGGAAGGGAACAATAGAGATTAACAGCAGAGAAATTTTGCACAGTTCATTACATAATTATTTTTTCATTCTAACTAATAATTCAGCAATAATTCCAGAAATCCAGAAGATTTTTTAGAAATTCTTTCACTAAATTGTTCCTTGTTGTTGGTTGCAGTAACATACAAAAAATTATCACAAACTTAAACTTAAAACACACAGAAAATTATTAAAATATGGAGAGCACAGTTACACACAGCTGCCACCTAGGCACTTCCATTCCATTATTTTACTATAAAGTATTTATTTATCTCTTGTTTAATCTATTGTTTAGAAGACTGTTAGTTCTAATGTTCTTATATCATTTTTATATCAGAATTTGCCCCTCACATTTTTCTGGTAATCCTGTGTATTTCAGGACTTACAAAAACAGTTTGAGAATGTTGCAGCTCGTTCAAAGTATATTGAAAATGATTTCAAGAAATTGGCAGGTGCGAAAAAGGAAAAGGATAAAAAAAGTGCTACAGATTCAGTTTTGAAACAAATTTCACAAACTGTGCCTTTGGTTCATAAGGTAAGATATTTAACTTCAACTATTAGTCTGGAGGCTCAGGCTCAGTTTTGTGGGGGGGAGGTGCCGTCAAATCAGCACGAAACAAAACCCAACTTTCTATAGTAAAATTTTGCGTAGAATACGTTGCCGAGTGGTAATCGGTCTGCCATTGGGGTGTTTTCAAGATATCACTATTAGGGTGATAGCCCCTCGATTTTTGAAAATTTTCAGAACCCCGTCCCTTTTTCTAATCTGTTCCTATTCCCGAAAAAAAAAACCCATGCAAAAAATTAGACAGATTGGTTGATATTTAGGGGGGTCACCGCAGCTTGCAAAAATCTGTCAGTAACCCCTGCTCAATTAATGCATTTTATGCGAAATGCAGTTTATTATTGCATTTTTGTGGTGTTTTTTTTTGTTTTTTGTTCAGAAAGGATTATTGGCCACACATCTTTAGATCACTCGATCGAGCGTGAAACTTTTGATTTAAGTGAAATAAACCTAGTAAACACTCATAAATTATGCATCTATGAGACCAAAACCTTATTATAGGGTAATAAATAAAAGTCAACAAAATGTGTAGTAAATGTAATAAATTTATTTTTAAAATTATATGTTGATAGAATTATATACAGAAACAGGATTGTCATAAGGCACTTATTAACACCAACACAGTTGAATTCTATAATATACGACCTTGTTTAAAATCTCATACATATTTTAGTTTTCAGATTTTCATTTTCGCATATTTGGGAGTACTTTTCCATCGGTTTCAACTACTTGCAGGACATTTTGGTAATGTTTTTGGGACATAGCAGCACGCAAGGAATCTGAACTTACTTTATCTCCTCTTTGAGCCCAATCTTTACAACACTGAGCGACAATACAGTGTGTAAAGACATCTTAAACGATTCAGAATCTTGCCATTCTATTACATTCAATTCTTTGAAGTCGGACTCAAGTCCAATGACTGAAAGATAATCCAAGATTCAGTAGTTATCAGATCGGCTAACTTGATGGATTCTCTGATTTTCGGTAACTGTGGAATATTTTTAAATGGCTTTATAAAACCTCAAATCATTCCAGGGGGAATCAATGGGAATTGTACATGTCATCCACCACCTAGAGTATAGAAGTGTTACAAAGTTCACGAAGGTAGTTATAGGGTGTGTTTGACTCAAGCTAATTGCAGCACCTCAGCTTGCTAATCAGTTACAATGGTGGGTAAACTGTTGATGTCAAAAAAGTTTCAACTGTTCCTGGTTGTCATGTGGTACAAGCTCTCATGTTTTGCACAATCGCCTCAATTCCAGGGTGTTTGAAAATGTGCGATAATAACACCTCACCAATATGGTGTCTGCATGCTGACCACAACAAAGCTCTGTTCAATTAATAGGCTGTGATTTAGCCCAGAAAATCGTTTCATCTCGTCCCAGCAAATTCCGGGTGAAAATCTGACGCTTTGTTACATAATTTAACCATTGCACAATACGTCTTGCACTCGAATAACGTCTCGAACTATATTTGTCAAGTGTAGCCATAATCGGGTGAAAAAATCAAATTCTAAGCCAATCAGAAACCATAAAAGCAAAGATCCTCATAGGTCAAGGGTCAATAGCCATAAATAGACCAGTGAATACCTTTTATAAGACAGAACACGTTGGATTGTTTACATTTGTCTGAGAGAATTTCTCTGCAAATATGCCGGGATTACTGGATAATATCCCCTGTTAAATATTGCATTGACACGGTAAAGACGACTTACCCCTGATCTGTGGCATAAATATGGCCAATAATTAGGAAATAGCCCCAATGATTGAATGAATCTTTTATTTTCTTGAAACAAGTATTTCTTCAAAACTATTTCAGTGAAACAATATCCAAGAGAAATATATACTTAATAATACAGATGAAAACGATTTTGGCATGCTTGAAATACTGGTTCGGTCTTATAATTATATATAATGCTAAGAAAAAACAAAAATAATAATACCATGTGATCTGATCGATACAATTAATAATAATTCACCTTCATCAATTTTACTATTTTTTTAAAACGAGAAAACAATAGACTTATTATAAGAGTATATAGAGAGAGAAATGGGCTTTAACTTCCACTCGACACAAACTAGGTAATTTTGGTTCAATTTTATTCCAATAATTCACTTGCGTGTAGTGGTCTTTAGCAGTGGGAGGAAACCGGAGGACCAGGAGAAAACCCATGAGGTTGGACAGGCCACCCTTCTCCTTGTCAAGTACAACCGTGGAATCTAAACCACGCCAGTGGACTCAATGACAGACCTTATAATATGCTACCCATTCGGCACCACTGACAAGGGGAAACCGTCGGAAATGAATTAGAATAAAAAAGGAAAATAAAAACATATAGTAAGCATAAAGTGTCAAAATATAATATGAAAATTTATTGACATGTACAGTACATTTAAGTAAAACATATTTAAAATATGTAATATTAAAAAAACGCTTACAAAAATACATGTATACAGGTGTAGGCCTACTCACATAATTTCATCAATACCATCATCACTATTAAAATCAATGTCACTGTCAGCATATGTTTGGCTGTCACTTTTATATTCGAACAATATATACAAGAAAGTTTTCACTTGTAACAAGTACATCTATTACTGATCTATCTGTAAAAGTGTAATGCAGCTTGATTTACATTCACATTGAAAATTTTGTTTGGTGCTTGTTCTCTAGTCACCCTAACCCTGTCATTTGTTCAATAGAGTTTAACAAGAGGGGTTTAAATTTCCACAGCTACAGTCAGGCAACCTGGGAGGAATGCGCCAGAATATGCCCCCTTTTTGACTGGTGATGCAAAGGCAGATATAATTCTTCATACATATTTTTTTCAAAAAAAGTAAGTGCACTTGTACCAACTCATCTATTTCGGTTCTAATTTTCTAGATAACATTGGGGTTGGATGGCCGAATTGTTAGCACGTGCGCACTGTATCATAAAGCCTGTCATTGAGTCAACAGGCGTGGTTTCGAATCCCCGGTTGTACGTGACAAGGAGTAGGGTGGCCTGTCCAACCTCGTGGGTTTTCTCTGGGTCTCCCCTTTCCTCCCACTGTTAAAGACCCCAACGCGCAAGCGAATTATTGAAATAAAAAAATTAAACCATATGTAAGTCCCAAAATGACCTAGTTTGTGTCGAGTGGACGAGTGGACGTTAAACCCCATTTCTCTCTCTCCATAACAACTTGTTGGGTATGAGTACTGCACATTGTATTTCACCTCAATAATGATGACACAGTCTTAACCATAGTGGTCTTCTGTCTTTGACTGAGTGGACTTCCCTATTGGTCTGAGTGGTCTTGGGCGGAGTAGTCCTTGGTCTGGGTTGTCATGCATTTGGGAGAATATCTTCATTAGCTTGCATTTGCAAGAAAATGGGGAAAATGTTAAGATATGATCCGATCCCCTTAAACAAATTAACCAGACCTATTATTTTTTTTTTTTTTTTTTTTTTTTTTTTTCTCTCTGCTGCTGCTGCTTGTTTCTAAACATCACTTTCTTCAACAATTTAGGAATCGTGATAATGTTTCATACACAGTTTGGTAACGTGGAATGTGATAAGTAGGCCTAGTCTCTACCATACCCCAGTCCAGTGAGAGTTTTGTCTGCACATTCCTGACTGGAGTTCTGATTCAGCTTTGTCCAGCAAATCGGCATTTGTCTCCGGCACATTTCCATCTAATTTGATCCACTGGTTAGCACATACCTTAAATTTTTCCCAGCTTGTCGCAGTGAACGGTTTTAGCTCAGTGTTTTAAAATGTACTCGAGCTATGCAGTTTTACTTTAGCTATCCTTCCGCCATGTACCGTTAATATCAAAACGTAAACAAAGAGCAGGTGACCTTTCACCACATGACCTGTTGAACTTTTCGTCATGTATGTTTGATTGGCCAATTATGTCACGTGATCTGTTTAAACCGAGTCACCGCGAAATTCAAATAGCATTGCACATTGACAAGTAAGCCCATATTTAATTTACGTTTTCTATCAAACGTCAAAGAATTGATAAAAGAAAAGTTGTGTGTCAATACAAAGTAATACTAGAAGAATTAGATGATGTAGTTTTTTTTTCACCCGAAAATGGTCGGGACGGAGAAACAGAAGCAAGCTAGCTAGAAATTTCACACCACGGCCTATAACACTGCAGCACTATATAAGCAGCAGTCAAATGGCCAGTGCTCCAGAGTCAATTGAACAAAGCTCTCTTAAGTGTTCAGCATGCAGACAGCATTTTGGTGAGCTTTGGCAAACCACAATTTCTGAAAATTTTAAAATATTCCAGTTTCCAAAATTCATAGAATCCACCAAGTTAGCCAATCTGATAACTATTGATTCTTGGTTTATCTTTCAGTTATTGGACTTGGAGTCCCGACTTCTTAGAATTGAATGTAACAGAATGGCAACATTCTGAATCGTTTAAGATGTCTTTACACGCTGTATCTTCGCTCACTGTTGTATATGATGGGGCTAAAAGAAAAGTTAAAATAAATTCAGATTTCTTGTGTTTTGCTATGTCTCAAAAACATTACCAAAATGTCCTGCAAGTAGTCGAAACCGATAGAAAAGTACTCCCAAATATGCGAAAATGAAAATCTGAAATCTAAGATATGTATGAGATTTTAAACTAGCCGGTATATTATAGAATTCAACTGTGTTGGAGTTAATAAGTGCCTTATGACAATCCTGTTTGCAATAATAAACTGTATTTCTCATAAAATGCATTAATTGAGCAGGGGTTACTGACAAATTTTTGCAGGCTGCGGTGGACCCCCTAAATATCAACCAATCTGTCTAATTTTTTGCATGGATGGTTTTTCGGGAATAGGAACAGATTAGACAGGGGGTTCTGAAAATTTTCAAAAATCGAGTGGCTACAGTACACACACACGTCTGTTTAGGTCTTTGATGTACATTGCTCCATATAAATATTGTAATATGAAATCTTTTTATTTCTTCGACATCTGAATGCCTAAAAGTTCTTGAAAGTCGGCGAATCTGCTTTGGCTCAGCGACTCGAAGATTCGTACAATGCTATCACCCGTATCCACATGAATTCCGCAAAGTATCATGGTACCACACTTCTGTAGAATTCAGATTTTAAAATATCCGTAATAAATTGAATATCAGAACACGAATCACACTTGTGCATGGCACCGTATATACATGTACCATGTGCGAAGGACAGGTAACGCCACCTGGAATTCCCTTATCACATATCCGGACTATATTTACGCTACAAATTATATTTATTAAATCTATATATGAAATATTTTTCCTACCTGATTATTTGATTTTGAGATAAAATTGTCTACTTCCAAACTGTGTGAGTAACTGTAGCCCACGACAGAGCGATAAACAGTGCAAATGGCGGCTTTTCGCGGCATTTCTGTGCTTAATTTTTGCATTTAGAAACAAATAATTAAATGTACTTGACGAGGACGTGAGTATTGTGGTCAATTTACTGAACATCAACTAAATCAGGTAGTTTTATTTGCTACCTGTCAGATGAAAAAATCGCCTGTCGGCGACAAGTAGACAGGCAAACATTTCGAACCATGAAACTAGTTGTACTAGCAGCCTTAAAATACTTTAGTTTCTCTTTTATCAAAATTGTTTTTGAAAAAAATACTTTTAAAAGCCTGTAATCCTTCATGGTTCACCTGGTGCCGACGGGAATTGGCTTCAGCTGTTGTCCACAAGCGTCCATTAGATTATCGAAGTGCTCAATCAAATGATCTTAACAAAGCCTATCCATTACTCTAAGATAGACATTAGGCCGTGTTGAATTGATTCCTTGTTTCTCCTGCCACCACTCTGGCAATCATGTATCACCCGTATCCACATGAATTCCGCAAAGTATCATGGTACCACACTTCCGTACTAAATCGAATACTTCGCCGTTGAGTTGTAGAATTCAGATTTTAAAATATCCGTAATAAATTGAATATCAGAACACGAATCACACTTGTGCATGGCACCGTATATACATGTACCGCGTGCGAAGGACAGGTAACGCCACCTGGAATTCCCTTATCACATATCCGGACTATATTTACGCTACAAATTATATTTATTAAATCTATATATGAAATATTTTTCCTACCTGATTATTTGATTTTGAGATAAAATTGTCTACTTCCAAACTGTGTGAGTAACTGTAGCCCACGACAGAGCGATAAACAGTGCAAATGGCGGCTTTTCGCGGCATTTCTGTGCTTAATTTTTGCATTTAGAAATGAATAATTAAATGTACTTGACGAGGATGTGAGTATTGTGGTCAATTTACTGAACATCAACTAAATTCAGGTAGTTTTATTTGCTACCTGTCAGATGAAAAAATCGCCTGTCAGCGACAAGTAGACAGGCAAACATTTCGAACCATGAAACTAGTTGTACTAGCAGCCTTAAAATACTTTAGTTTCTCTTTTATCAAAATTTTTTTTGAAAAAAATACTTTTAAAAGCCTGTAATCCTTCATGGTTCACCTGGTGCCGACGGGAATGGGCTTCAGCTGTTGTCCACAAGCGTCCATTAGATTATCGAAGTGCTCAATCAAATGATCTTAACAAAGCCTATCCATTACTTTAAGATAGACATTAGGCCGAGTTGAATTGATTCCTTGTTTCTCCTGCCACCACTCTGGCAATCATGTGCGGTAGTGCGGTAAACACAACACAAAGTTGGTTTCAAAACACAAAGTTGTCTAGCATAATATCTATAGTCCGGGGGTTGTGTACCCTTTTTTATACGCCCACATTTTCATGTGGACATATTATGCCGTCGCCCTTGTCCGTCCGTTTGTGTACTCTCTACAGGTCACAATTCTTATCCGATTTTGACGAAACTTGAAATATAGGTTTATCCCCAAAAGATCTCGGCTGCTTTCGATATGTATACATTGGAATGCAAGTAAAAGATCCCTTGGCAGTTGGAATTCGATATAAGAGTAGGCGATAGTGCCACTGCCCGGGCAAAATTTCCCTCATAGCACACTGTATGGCGAATGCCCGTCTTCATTAGCCCAGCATAGGAGCAGAACAGTAGGACGTTAAACCCCATTTCATTTCATTTTATGTTATGTTTATAGATGGATTATCTCATTACTACTATTATCTCTAATCTCTGTCATAGCTGACCATTGTTAACTTACTATAGATAATCCGTCCTGGGAGCCAAGTTGTGGTGTAAGTCTACTACCTAATATTTGGTTGAATGGCTGTATTAAATACTACCTGGTCATAGAATACGTGAAAACCCCTAGGGGGTGTCATACCATATAAGTTTGATCAAAACTTACGCCCCCCATCTTGGCACTTTTTGTAATTTTTGCCTGGTCTTTTTCGGAAGTCTTAAAAGAATTCTGCATCAACCCTTTGACCAAAATATGTACTCCTGTATATAATGTATATTTACCTGTATATAAGCTGATATGGAAATGGAATACCGCTTGTCATTATTGAGCTACACCTACCCGCACCTACGGACTTGATGAATGTTGGGGGGGGGGAGAGAACCCCTGAAATTGCCTTAAAAAATGGCAGGTTACAGACAGCGGCGGGCGGTAATTGATTGCGAGAGGCAACAGAGCAGAACTTATCATGTAGCCCCCCTCCCCCCAGAAAATTGGGAAAATCTGTCGTTTACAAACCTGTTTTCCTGCTATTCGACCCCGTGAATACAGTAAGTTCAATGTGGTCTAATATAGCCAAATTTAGGTGACTGACTTGAATTCCAATCAACCAATCAACCATTTACAGTCAACTGAGATGGATACTTTTGAAAATTTAATTGCCACAAACATTTTCCTGCTATTCCAGCACGTGAATACAGCAACTTCAATGTGGGCCAATATAGCCTACCTTAGGTGGCTGACCTAAATCCAAAACAAGCACTCAATCGTCGCAGGGTATGAGTGCCTTGCCCTCCCTGGAAAAAATTTGAAAATTTATTATGTTTTTCTGCTATTCTAGTCTGTGAGTTAAGGAACTTAAAAGTTTCCTATCGTTTCGGAACCGAAATCCCACTATGTCGACCTGAATTCCAACCATCCAATTGAACTGTTCCAGCTGCATTCACAAAATGCCGGAAAAATGTTGCACAAAGGAGAGTGACTCCAAACAAAATGTTTTAATCCATAGTCAATTAAAAGAAAAGTAAAATTTGTGTTTTATATTTTGGGCACTTTCTTTAGCTAACTAGATGAAATATAATTTTTGTTTTCACATTTGCCCGAAAAGTCAGATGTGCCCCCGCCCCCGCCTTGTTACATGCCAACAAAAATTCACATTAATTGCTTGGACATAATCACAATAGGCTGTAGTTTCGTGAATTTGTCTCCTATTTCCAAAATTAATACATTTCTTAATTGTCTTAACTTACATATTACAGATTTCCATTTCCAAATTTGAAAATGTTACATACTTTTTTGGAAAGTGTTTCAATGTTTACCTTACCAAAACTTTTCACAAATTTTGTTTTTTCAGCTTGAAGAAAGACTAGAAAAAACAAAACATGAACTACAGACTAGTACCAATAAAACAGAAGATGAACAACAAAAAACAAAACAGTAAGTGGAATTTTTTATGCGCCCAAAATTTCATGTGGACTTAAAATGCTGTCACCCCTGTCCGGATCTACGTTCAAAATCGAAAAAAAAAAAGTAGGTCAGATTGCCTTGATTTTTTTTTTCTGTACTACTAGATAAGACACTACTGATGCATACACAAAATATGAAGTGCCACCATCTTGAAACGTGGAAAATCCCGAAGGCTTTTACGATATTTTACTTACAGACATAGCAGAATTTTGATTTATGTCAACTGATGGTCGCCATTTTGAATTGAATATGAAAAATAGTGAAAAATCCACATTAATGGGCTTGAAAATAAACACAATAGGCCATAGTTTAATGAATGTGTCTCCTATTTCTGAAATGAATACATTTCTGGATAGCCTGGCTCAGGGTAGAAGTTTTGGTATTTTGAAAATGCAAAATTGCGAAATTCCATTTTGAAGTATTTCGTGCCGAAAGAGTTCTTTACTGGACAGTTTGTTTTCTTAATTTACCGCCATTTCAGCTCATTTTCTGTTCCTTACCATTTTAAATTAACGGCTTGATCAATTTTTCTGGAACAGGAATTTAATCCGATCCAGCAATATCTCCCTTTATTTTTCAGATTATTTTTCCGCCTGAGTGAACACTCTACAGGGCACAATTTCTATCTGATTTTGACGAAACTAGAAATATAGGTCTATCTCCCAAAGATCTCGGTTGCTTTCAATATTGGCATGTATCGGACCATAACTTCATTGTACGAAATGAAAAATGAAAAATTGGTAGTCGTTTCATCCAATTTATATTGATACAATTACATATAATGTTTGACTTTTACTGTCTGCTTAACACACTACTGAATTGCTGCATATTAAAACCGTATTGAAACTACGTTTTTTAAGGCTCAATACAGAAATTCCCATTTACAGTGACACAAACTCGATGTCACATGGAATTCTTCGCCTTCCATATTAGGAATGGCTTACTACGAAATGTGTAAAATGGTTGATTTTGGCGCGAAATAGCTGTCAACAGCCACATACGTCAATAACAGACATGATAATATCACGGAACTTTATAATACATGGACTGAATGCATGCCGCACGAGACGGGGGATTGGCGATGTTACAAGCAATAAACAACCAATGTAATTTTGATAAAGTAATAGTTTTGAAAGAAGACAATTCTCCAACAATATAATCAAAAGATTCCCTCACAAATTCCTCATGTATAAAATAATTTTAAATCCAGTTGTATTTTGTTATTTAATTCATAATCAGAATGTGACGATACTGTGTCCGAGACGCGAATAAACAGTTCCCAAACCGGACATTACCAGTCAGGAGGCTCTTTTTTTCTCCTCCCTTTTTTAAAGACACATGGTCTTTATTTGTACCGTCTTGTGTGGGTTCTCTTGTTGTTTTCCGTCAATATGATTATCGCTATATATGTTAAAACATTATGTACGGGAATTGTTGTACTAGTGAATTGTAAACAGTCTGTTTGTGAACAGTCTACAGGTCACAATTTTTATCCGATTTCAATGAAACTTGAAATATAGGTTTATCACTCTAGGTTTATCCCCAATAGATCTCGGTTCCTTTCGATATTGGCATCTATCGGACCGTAACTTCATGGATTAAGGCCCCTGATTGCACGAAAAATCACATTTTTGGCTTGTGAACACTGTAGAGGTCACAATTTTTATCCGATTTTGTTGAAACTTGAAATGTTAGTTTATAACCCAAAGATCTCGGTCCTTTCGATATTCGCGCATATCGGACCGTAACTTCCTGAATAATGGCCCCTGATTGTACGTAAAAACGCGTTTTTTGGCTTGTGGACCCTATAGAGGTCATAATTTTTATCCGATTTAAAAAAACGTATTATTATATCACCGTTAAACCCTAAGGACGGTCGAAACTGACAGACAAAATGGCTGCCGTATGTTCTCAAATAGCGTAAAAATATGGTATATCAAGGTTGTGGACCCTATAGAGGTCACAATTTTTATCCGATTTTGTTGAAACTGAAATGTAAGTTTATAACACAAAGATCTTGATTCCTTTCGATATTCGCGCATATCGGACCGTAACTTCATGAATTATGGCCCCTGATTGTACGCAAAAACGCGTTTTTTGGCTTGTGGACCTTATAGAGGTCATAATTTTTATCCGATTTAAAAAAAAGTGTTAATATATCACCGTTACACCCTAAGGACGACGGAGTTCGAATTTCGTGAAAATTGGCCCAAGACTGACTGACAAAATGGCCGCCCCTTGTTCTCAAATTCCATTTTGAAGTATTTCGTGCCGAAAGAGTTCTTTACTGGACAGTTTGTTTTCTTAATTTACCGCCATTTCAGCTCATTTTCTGTTCCTTACCATTTTAAATTAACGGCTTGATCAATTTTTCTGGAACAGGAATTTAATCCGATCCAGCAATATCTCCCTTTATTTTTCAGATTATTTTTCCGCCTGAGTGAACACTCTACAGGGCACAATTTCTATCTGATTTTGACGAAACTAGAAATATAGGTCTATCTCCCAAAGATCTCGGTTGCTTTCAATATTGGCATGTATCGGACCATAACTTCATTGTACGAAATGAAAAATGAAAAATTGGTAGTCGTTTCATCCAATTTATATTGATACAATTACATATAATGTTTGACTTTTACTGTCTGCTTAACACACTACTGAATTGCTGCATATTAAAACCGTATTGAAACTACGTTTTTTAAGGCTCAATACAGAAATTCCCATTTACAGTGACACAAACTCGATGTCACATGGAATTCTTCGCCTTCCATATTAGGAATGGCTTACTACGAAATGTGTAAAATGGTTGATTTTGGCGCGAAATAGCTGTCAACAGCCACATACGTCAATAACAGACATGATAATATCACGGAACTTTATAATACATGGACTGAATGCATGCCGCACGAGACGGGGGATTGGCGATGTTACAAGCAATAAACAACCAATGTAATTTTGATAAAGTAATAGTTTTGAAAGAAGACAATTCTCCAACAATATAATCAAAAGATTCCCTCACAAATTCCTCATGTATAAAATAATTTTAAATCCAGTTGTATTTTGTTATTTAATTCATAATCAGAATGTGACGATACTGTGTCCGAGACGCGAATAAACAGTTCCCAAACCGGACATTACCAGTCAGGAGGCTCTTTTTTTCTCCTCCCTTTTTTAAAGACACATGGTCTTTATTTGTACCGTCTTGTGTGGGTTCTCTTGTTGTTTTCCGTCAATATGATTATCGCTATATATGTTAAAACATTATGTACGGGAATTGTTGTACTAGTGAATTGTAAACAGTCTGTTTGTGAACAGTCTACAGGTCACAATTTTTATCCGATTTCAATGAAACTTGAAATATAGGTTTATCACTCTAGGTTTATCCCCAATAGATCTCGGTTCCTTTCGATATTGGCATCTATCGGACCGTAACTTCATGGATTAAGGCCCCTGATTGCACGAAAAATCACATTTTTGGCTTGTGAACACTGTAGAGGTCACAATTTTTATCCGATTTTGTTGAAACTTGAAATGTTAGTTTATAACCCAAAGATCTCGGTCCTTTCGATATTCGCGCATATCGGACCGTAACTTCCTGAATAATGGCCCCTGATTGTACGTAAAAACGCGTTTTTTGGCTTGTGGACCCTATAGAGGTCATAATTTTTATCCGATTTAAAAAAACGTATTATTATATCACCGTTAAACCCTAAGGACGGTCGAAACTGACAGACAAAATGGCTGCCGTATGTTCTCAAATAGCGTAAAAATATGGTATATCAAGGTTGTGGACCCTATAGAGGTCACAATTTTTATCCGATTTTGTTGAAACTGAAATGTAAGTTTATAACACAAAGATCTTGATTCCTTTCGATATTCGCGCATATCGGACCGTAACTTCATGAATTATGGCCCCTGATTGTACGCAAAAACGCGTTTTTTGGCTTGTGGACCTTATAGAGGTCATAATTTTTATCAGATTTAAAAAAAAGTGTTAATATATCACCGTTACACCCTAAGGACGACGGAGTTCGAATTTCGTGAAAATTGGCCCAAGACTGACTGACAAAATGGCCGCCCCTTGTTCTCAAATAGCGTAAAAATATGGTATATCAAGGTTGTGGACCCTATAGAGGTCACAATTTTTATCCGATTTTGTTGAAACTTGAAATGTAAGTTTATAACTCAAAGATCTTGGTTCCTTTCGATATTTGCGCATATCGAATTGTAATTTCCTGAATTATGGCCCTTGATTGTAGGAAAAATCACTTTCGTTTAGCTGGTTTTCTATCCATCTCTCGAAAATGTGGGCGTATACTGCCTGGCAGCCGCTGGTTAATTAGCAGTTAAAGCTGTGGGGGTAAGTCAGAACGCAGGGATGTCTACTCTTACTCAGTCTAATGCGTAACTAAATATCAAAACTAATGACTTGGTACATGTTGTTTATTGCCAATTTAAAAAATGTATTCCAACATCTCTTTATCTCAAACCCAAAGAAATGTATTAAAATAATATACGGTCAGCTATTCAGTGCTCATGCATATCAACAATCACAAGGGAAAACCCCTGTAACACAGTACAGACAATGACATTATTAGCCAACGAAAGAAACATTTATTTTACATTATTATAGAATTTATACGGCATCCGATTAATCGGCACCGATACGATTTTTGGCTAGCCGATTAACCGATTCAAGAATTTTGTAATAGTGACAACACTAGTTTATATCCCAAAGATTTTGGTTCCTTTCGATATTCGCGCATATCAGATTGTAACTCCTGAATTATAGACCCTGTTTTCCAAAAATCGCATTTTTAGCTTGTGGTCCCTCTAGAGGTCACAATTATTACCCGATTTAAAAAAACGTTTGAATATATCACTGTTACACCATAATGTTTGATGAGTTCAAATTTTGTGAAAATTGGGCCAAAACTGCCGGACAAAATGGCCGCCCCTCGTATGCAAAT